AGGAATGGAAAGAACTCAGGGTAGTAACTTTAAGCTCTATCCTTACACTTCCATTTTTCTGAGTATGTACAGAAGTTAAGAGGCTGACTTCTAAATGTTAGCTCTGGTTTATGCCAATCTAGTCTCCAGAAAAAACAGCTCCTTTTTGTAGTTCTGTTCTGACTCCTGTTCTGCTGCTGGAACACATCTATAACCATTGCTATCTCTGAAGTGCCCCTAACTCCAAGACACCAGCAGCCTTGTCTATTCAGCTGCTGAGCCGTATTTACGGAATATAAGGCAAAATCTGTAATGCTGCCAGAACTTCAAGGAAGCAAATCTTTAAAAACCATACAGCATGCTGTATTACAACCAACTAAACTAACTACTGTTACAACCAACTATCAAACTACAGGGTTTAATAAAAGTCTTGGATCCCTATGAGCAATACTGCACTATGATAATGCTTGCATACTTAATATATACTGCCAATACTGCTTCCAGGACATATTGACAAGTATGTGCAAGGCTTCCAGACTTACGGCCAGTGTACAGTGACGTGATGACTTCAGAATATAGCTACTTCTGTGCTAGAGTGGACAGCTGGAATATTTGACCTTCAGTAGAAGCTGACGTTCAGAGAGGGGCAATGTGACCAAGTAAAGTCACAAGCTGCCAAGCCTGCTTCCTCTTCCTCAACGTACATAAGCTGACTTCTGTTATATTGGTAGGCAGATCTCAAAGGTCAAGGTGCAGCTGATCACTATTACCAGTGAAACTTAAGCAGCAAACTGAAAAGCAAATACACTACCAAGTCCCTCTATAATTGGACAGCTAGGATCTTGTAGTTGATACAGAGCAAAAGATATTCTGCAGTCATGCACAATCTACCTCCAGAAAGTGTCTTGATGCAGACCTTGTGCTTAAGGTTAACAGTGACATCATAGGAATTAATATTTTGCTATTAAAATAAAACCTTAATTATTGGAAAGAGATCAGCACACTGTCAATCTAGGATTTCCCTGTATCCTGCATTTTCTTTGTAATCTGTATCTTGTTTTCAGTTTTCAGCATCAGAGAAGTTCAGAAGATTTAACTTTGAACAAATACAGAATCATTCCTGAAGAACAATCCTTCCACAAGATCAGAGCTAACACTACGTATAACTCTGCAGTGATGAAATGCACCATATCTATATTCCCCTGTTCTGAAGCCGGTACCACGTTTCCCTGCATCATACCTCTTTGCAGTGCATCAGAAGTTCTGGCACAGATACCAGTTGTCACACATGCTAGATGTTCCTTTGCTGGAACCTGGGCATAGTATTATGCCAGATCACGCCATGGCTAGCCTTTCTGACTCCGGCAGAACAGGCTTCTCTTCCTGAATCAGGTGTAGCTCAGGACTGCTCAACCAGAACTCGCTCATCCTCACATATCAAAGTGTGAGTAGGATAAATTCATCAGTTATTTGTCAGAAACCTGCCATTCCATTCCGAATTAAGATAACATGCTGGCAGTCTACTAAGGACATAATCCCAATAAATGACCATGGCTTATGCTAGGGTCTGTCACAAGCACGTGGTTATAAGGCTTTTTATTTTGTTAAAAAGGGTAGCATTTCCATTCACTTTGTGGATGCCCAAACTGATTGCAGGTCTTTCTTGTTGAGAGCTTCCTTTTTACTTTCCATTAATTTCTCTGGCATCAGGCAATGAAGGTTCATCTTCAATGTCAGGCAAAAAGGGACTAAGGGGAGGTCATAACCACTGACCACCCGTTATGTTGAGAGTGCACAATATTAAGCAAATATTTGCATTTTCTCACAAAACTTATTACAGCAATATCTTTCTCACTGACATACTCAAACCAGGAGCGTGGCTAGTAGTATCACTGGCAAGCATCATGCTGTTCTTTTTCCATTGGCCAGATGGTGCAACTAAAAATATTTACTGGAGGTGAAGTGAAAAGACAATTCAACACAGAAAATTCAGTAGTGTGAAGAAATTACAGAAAGTAACCAGAACATAAAGAGTGCATTTGTCCCTCAAAAGTTACTAAATTTTTATTGAACGCGATTCCCAACTTTTAATTCCATAATTGACTAGTTTTTGAAAGAAGTCAAAAAACAGGTACTTGGACCTCTTTTGGCATCATCCAGTTACTCACTATTGGAGTTAACTGGATATTACATCTTGTTCCAGTCAATACCTCTACCTAGCACAGAGTGCTTCAGTAGATTTATAATGAGCACCTCATGCCATGCAATGCAATTTTGTGCTTTATAATCTGCACTGCCCAATTCCGTGTTGTTTTAACTCCATACCAAAACAAAAACACCTTACAGAATCTTAAGAGTCTGGGAACATACCTAAAGAGACTAAGCCTCCTCTTCCAGGAAGGTACAATAAATCCCAGTAGTTACTTTGAAATTGCACTTTCAAACAAGGAAGCTGACAGCAAGACTTTACATATGAGGGTCTCATTACCATTAAAACATGAACTGACTACTTGGCTGAAAATAGTAAGGAATATTATTCACTTTCACAGCACGATATGACGTTCATGTTCAATTTAGGGTGTGGGGAAGAAGGACCAGAATTTGACAATGGGACGTTTTGCTTCATGGAAAGATTTATGAAGACATATTTCTACTCTTCTAGTTAATTAGCTACTGTTAACTTGGGTTTTTGTATTTTCTAATTACTACCACAAAGAGTACCACAGATTTAGGATGGAATTAAGACCCATTTATTGAAAAAATATTTGATTTCTGTAATTTTTCTGAGCAGGGGAAAGTATTAATTTGCTGTAGCAGCTTAGGCATAGTATCATATTAAGTGCTGTTGTATCAGTTGAGGCTTTGAAGAGTACGATAAACTCTGCTTCTTATTAGTTTAACCCATTAAAAGAAAAAGCTTACAATGTCACTGCCGGAGAGTGATGATACAGAAGAGGCAGATGAGCCAGAGGATAACTGTTGTGTACTAGCCAATGACAAAGCCAAGCGTTGGTTGTAAGATGGTTCAGAGTCTCTGCTCTGTTGCTGTTCTCCGTTGCATGGAGCTATCTGGTCTCTTATTTTCAACCTATTATCTGTTAACAGAAAACATAAGTATCATTTAAGAGCACAGAATACAAACACATGAGCCTTGAAGTCTAAGAAGAGCTGCAGTTTAACAAGCTAATTGAAAAACAGGCTCAGAGAAAACTAGTCTTGGATTAGAAAGTTACAAATTCCTTTTATTTTTCCTACATATCTGAAAGTGATTAATTTCAAGGCATGAGTATTTTGAATTACATCAAATTCAAGAAAAAAATTTAAAGTTGGTTTCACAGATTCCTGCTATACCTACCAAGTTCAGGTGATAAATTAATTTTGCTCCCCCACTTCTTTTTAATCCAGGCCCTGTAGTCAATCACTTCTTGGGTCACTTTGATGATTCTACCTAATGTGCTAAAAAAATTTTTCAATTAAGTATTAAACAGAGACTGTTGGTTACATATTTGCAAGTATTTCAACAAGCAATCAAATTATGCAAAGTGTCAGTTTAAGATATCCCTAACCAAAGAATCCTGTTGAACGTTCATTTCCTTAGCACACCATTTTATCCACTGAAGCACCACAATTTTTAAATTAGTGTATTACTTATCTTCTACTATACTAACATGGAAGCACTGACACATGGGTAAGATTTTTTTACTTGATAAAAGCAATTTACAGACTTTTGCATTTCTCCATTCAGAAAATATATTTTCCACAGAATCTGCAGTAGAACAGTTGTGGGATGCACTGAAGACATTAATATCCCAGCCCCGCAGCTGACCTTCACACTGAAGACAGACCTTCACTAGTCCTTGTTTACAGATTTACAATACAACTTAAAAGGTGTAAGATCCCCACAATTATAAAGGAAGTACCATGAATCGTGAGGTAGTGGTAACAAGAAACAGACTGGCTCCAAAACCAGAAGTTAGAATTTAAGAAAATTCATAACAGTAACTGGTTCCGAGAAAAAGCCTACCTGCTGCTGAACAGTGACCAGTTATCAACAAGTACAAAGTAATATTTTTCCAGCATGGCTTCTCAACGTTCAGCTATTTCAATTGTGCTTCTTGAGCAGGAGTTGTGTCATTGTTTGAGCTAAACTTTAAAGCTTTCCTTTCATCAGGGACTAGTGGCTGAAACACTAACTATAAACTCCATGCTCAAGATACATGAAGGACTGACTATTGTACAAAACTGGGCTGTGAAAAGTTACCATCTTGGAGAAGGTAATGTTATTTTAGTTTTGACAATCTTCAATGGTTACAGTAAAGCTTATTTTGTATTTCATATCATAAAGGTACATTGTACCTGTACTGGAATTTTCTTTTGGTTTAGGTGTATAACGGGCAGGGAAGACATACATTGCCTAAATGTATTTAGACTACCTTTATTAGGTCACTTCATAATAACAATTTAAAAAGGAGCAATAATTCTCCTACTGGCTTAGGGATTACTATTTCATGCAAGACCAAATACCACATGTTCCATGTTCAGTCTTCCAACTTTAAAGACAAGTCAGTGTGTTAGTACTGAAAAAGACAGCCCAGCATTTTAAGCAAACATTGAACCAAATAATATCATCTAAGTTACAAGTCCAATAGCTGCAGAAGGGCCTCACAGACAGAATGACTGTCATCCACTATTCTATTTATGTAATGTAGATAAAGTGATGCATGTTGGAAAATAAAATCTTGAATTTCACATGCAGAATTAAAGGCATGATTGTCACCACTCAGCAACTAAAGATCTGGGTTATAATACGTAATTCTTTGGAAACCACAGTTCAATAGCTAAATAGAGCATATTAAGAAAGGAACAAATAAAACAGAGGATAGTATTTTGTCAATGTACACTCCCATGATATAACAGCATTTTAAATACTCAATGCAGTTCTGGTTTCTCAGTCTCAAAACGGATGTTAAGCCAGAGGAGGCAGAATGAAGACGGGGATGACCAACACCGCAGAGAATCAGCTGTGGCCCTGAAGTTACACTTCCCAAGACAGCAATGCCAGTATGGGACAGAAACATACACATGCTGGGTCTCTCCAGCACTGGGACAGAGAAGGAAATCTTGAAGCTAAAAAGTTTCCTGTGAGAATGCCTTCAGAAAGATTTGAGCTTTTACTCCAGGATGACCTATAAATTTCACAACCACTACCAGCAGCGGTCTTAGAACCAGCAGAAAATGAACATGGACTGAATAACATAAGGTCTTATGGAGAAGGAGTTTGTCAAGGCTGAAGCTTCTTGGAATACTTTCCCAGAAGTAAATCAATAGGCATGCCTTCACATACCAGAAGGAAAACAAATGATATAGGATGGTATTTTTATCAGCCTGGGAAGCCAATATACCAAAAATGCCTGCTATCAAATAGGAGTAAAGGGCAAAACTACTGCTACACCAAAAACTATGGCAGAGTTGCACATACAGAACATGGGAATCTTTTCTCTCACTAGCTCCTTTCACAAAGAATAGAAATCAAAGCCCCAAGCTCTCATTTTCAGTAGAAAGGTAGAAAAAAAGAAATTCACTAAGTTATCAGGTCAGGAGTTCAAAGGCAGATCCATGCTACATTGCTTGTACACCAAAATTAAAAACATTATGAGATATCAGAAACTGAAAGGTGATTAAGGCTATACTGCCATGCACTTAATATAGCAGCAAAGAAAGAAGCAGCAAGTGTGATCATACTAGATACTGCTCTCAAAGAACACCATATGTATGGGACTCAAGCACATCCATGGGGTCAAAGAACAATTTTTTTTAAAATAAACATTTAGAAATTGTGCTTATATCTGTTTTCAACACTGAAAATGCTTAGGAACAAAAAATCTATTAATCTGCCCAGCCTTTAGTATGAGGAAATTCCACACTTCTGGGTTTGGCTTTTTTTTAGCTGAGGCCAGAATTTCTACTGATATGAGACACTCACACAGTTCTACAAAGATGCTTGTTTGGAAGACATGGAAAAAAACACAGTTAACTGGTTAATAAAATTAAGACAGCTCTCCTGTGAAAGATGCCCCTTTAAGGTTTTTCCCTTAATATTATCATATCGTACAACCAGAAAGAAGCTTTTTACATACCTAGTTTATTTTATGATAAGAGCTTAGAAGCTCCTCTTTTTGCACACTGCAAGCTTTCAGTTCACAGGGACACTTTCTAGCTGTCATTACAGCACAACTACGGTGCAAATAAATCTTAAGATCACTCTTAAAAGGCTCAGATTGCTGACATAAGATTCAGTAAAAATCAAATATCTAAAGCTTCAGCAAGCTCCACATGAACAAGTGAGCATCAGAGCATAAAAACATCAAGGCTGTGAAAGAACAGTCAAAATAACTGTTCAGTAGGCCTTAACTGAACTTATGAAATATCCCCCTGATATTAAAAGGCCAGTATAATCTAAAAGCAGACTAAGGAGGACCTCAGAAGGATCTGCTTGAGCACGAGGATTAAAAAAAAAAAAAAATATCTAAAACCTTTACCCAGACAAATACTCTGCGTAGGAAAAGCTGGTATTGCTGATACCCCTTAAGAGACAGCATGCATTCTAGTGATAGCCACCCACCATTCAAGATGTGAAGCAAAGGAAGGACTGTTTCAGACAGCACATTTCTGCTTTCTGTGCCAGCAGATCTAGCAGGCAAATTTAACATTCCCTTTGACATCTCCCAGAGCTCCAAGGACTATCTTGGCCAACCAATGCAATCCAAACCTAACATACGGACCTGCTGGCAGTTAGATCAGTTGAACTGTACACTAGGAAGAGACCAAACAGCTTTCAAGCACAGAGATGGGAAAATGACTTTACATATGGCCCAAACTATTGCTGTTTTGAAGATTATCACCTGTAAATGACAACCCCTGACATGCAGCAACAAAACCCTGCCAAGGCTTCCTCAAACTCTGAACTCTGGCCTGTTGGCATGACAGTCCCTTTCCCTCATCCACCTGCACCACATGTCTAGTACCAATAAGGAGGAACCTGTTACCAATCTGCAACTCTAAGAACTGAAGAAAGGTTTCAAAAGTCTTAGTTACACTGGAAGGGCACATCACAGCAGAATCAGTCTTCCATCCCTCATTTCATATGACCTCGTCCGCCTCCCAAATGCACCTACGCTGCTGTTTAGAGGTGCAGTCTGAGCATACATTCGTATCTGAACCACGCAACAGGCCAACATGTAAGCCAATATCTGGATCTACAGACATACATATTAACCTAAGGATGCATCTTTGTCACATCCAGATCAGCATAACTTATCACTGTCAAATGGTACAATACCATTCTCTCCATCTTCCCCCAAACATGAACTCCTTCTGCTTCCCCTGCTTCTGATCTGCCCATCACACAGCCACAAGCTGGATCAACTTCTTGATGACAGATGTGTTGATGTCCTTGTTTTCAGTCAGACCAGAGAGTTCATCTGCCTCACCTTCTGACTGCAGGATCACTAGATCTGATCCAAGGCAAGAGTCAGGAATATACAGACTGAGAAGGAAGAAAAAGGGCAGCTGACAGGACATAGCCCACAGATAGTTAGGCTAGACAAGGTATAATGTGAAATTGCACCTTAATATAGAGAGCATGGACAGGGTAGTAACATATAGTCCACTACTTCAAAGAACATGAATCAACGAGCAAGAGCTTGTTGCCAAACATCTGCTAAGGTTTCCTGTGGTTTATCATGAAACAGAATAAAACTAGGAAAACGGTCATTAACTGGAAAATATCACTCCTTACAAACTTTTTTAGTTAGCTCACCGAAGACAACACAGTCTTCTCTAGAGACAGGCTATGGCCAAAGATCATACTAAAGCTGTTTGAAGCACATACTGACACTGACCCTTAAGCAGGAGCTATCCTGTCCATAACTGTATTTTACAGCTAGACTCATGTCCCCATGGTCCCAAATATTAAGAAATCAGTCATGATTTTCAATCACCTTGGCTGAAGTCACAACACCAAACTTGACCTTGCACAGAAGTTGTACAGATTCAAAGTGGATCAGTGTCCTCATTTTCCTACTAGGAAAATCTCTCTTTCCAAGATGATGGGAATCCATTTGCTCTAAAAAAATCTACTGAACTATCTATCAGCCTCTCCTGAGCCATTCTTGAAAGACGATGGGTGAGATACACAAAACAGTGTTAAGGTAATTTCTGTAGCTGTAAGAATTGCTTTCAGGACTCAGCTGATTACTGTTTCCACTCAGACAGAAGATAACTTTCAACTCCC